CTAGTTCTTGCTGAGTCATTTGGTAAATTTTGACCACCAAATTAATAACTTAATTAAAAAATATTTTCAGTGAGAAAAAAATTATGGTCAAAACTACCATAATATGGTTAAATTTAACATGTCTCTGGCTCTATGGGAACATCAAAAAGCTTGGTAGTTTTTACCTAAGTGCTTCGTTAATAATTTTGGTTAAATTAAACATTATATATAATGCTATAGTTCGTGATAAAACTTCGTAAAATTGACTAAGTTTGGTCATTTTATCAAGATTTATTAGAACACGCTATAAAAACCATTTATTCGGTTAAACTTGAATTTCAGTTTTGCTGGTTTTACTAAATATGTTGTAGTAAAAACTGTAATTATGAAATGAAGGAATGATTTATAAATACTATTTATTTTAGTTTTATTACCAGAATTATGTTTTTTTGTTTTTTTTTTGTTTTTTTTCGTTTTTAACAGAAATGTCATTAAGATACAGTACGGTAATTTCACCAGAATTTTTTTCTCCATGTACTCCAACCAATCCTAATACCAATTAGTACTCAATCCAGTTTGCACCAATTAATCCAGTTTGTACAAAAAACATAAATGATCAAAAATAACTCCAGTATTGACTAAATAGCTACAACTCTAGTTTAATTAAAGCCAAATAAGCAAAAGACAAAATAACTCGTTCTTTTAATACGAAAAAATTAATATTAAATAAAAGATTGTAATCCTTCCTGCTTTATTTCTAGCTCTAAATGTATTTTTAAAATTCAGTTATATTCCAAACTAACATCATATTGCTACCTTTTAATTTTTGAATCCTTCTAAGCATTGTTAGAGATAAAAAAATAAATATTTTTTTTGAAAAGATATAAACTGTTGCCAAGATAAGGAAAACAAAAAAAAAAAAATGCTCGAAAGAAAAATCAAATTTTTTCAGAAATAAGAGTGAAAAATATTTTTGGCGCTTCATTTTTCTTACCGAAATTGTTAAATNGGCGCTGGGACCATGTCCGAGAGTTCGTGGGTTCCAACCCCGCCAGTCGAAGACCGGTAAAGTGTAGTAAAGTGACTGATGCACGTTAAATCCGTCGCAAAAGTCCTCCATGTTCCCCTAACAAATCAATACCTCTGGGGGTACTGGATTGGAGATCGATCGTTCTCTGATTCAGATCAAAATTACGATCTGTGGATGAATGAATGGATGTATGAATGGGTCCGACCTATAAACGAGTGTGACGTATGGTGTGGCAGAAGTCAGATCTTAGTCGCCGCTTGGCCGTAGATGGCGCTACTGGTAAACAAGAACAATCGCACCCCCTCTGCATAAACCGGCGTACGTCAACAACAACAGGACTATAGCATAAATAATGACATTTAGACTGTTTAGGAATTACATTAAATTTTCCTTAAAATTTCTTTAATTTCTGAAATTAAATTTCAAGTTGGATGATTACGGATGGAACTAAGATAACATATACAATTAGTTCAGACGATTTCACCAAATAATTTCGCTATGAGTAAACAGAAAATGATTGGTATGTTGAGAGAAACGAATAGTATGGCAAGTGATATAAATGAGATTGTGCAACTAAAAAGTATATTTTTGTTCTCATAACATGCACAAAATGCAAAGTTAAATGCCATACGAAAGATTATCATGCTACTAGCTAAAAATTTTGTTGCTATTTTATTTTTTGCTGCATTAGATTTATTTATTCTATTTTACCATTCAAGGTTTTTAATTTCTACGCAGCTTAAAAAATTTTGGTATAATTGCTATAATGTGCACTGTAAAAATTTCAGAAACTAAATTTGTCTCGACAAAAATGTTTCCAAAATTCTCAGAGAACTTCATTTAATATCATGTTTCCGATCAATTGAGAAATATCTCTTTTATTTTCAAAAGTACGAAACTGAATCGTATTGACTCCGATTCACTTTTAGAGGTTTCCAAAATATTCAGAAACTGTTTTGAAAATTATGTGCATCGTAGCTGCTTCTTAAATTTAGAAACGCTTTGAGATTTTTTTAGAGTGTATGTATAAAAACATTTCTGGTAAAAGAAATTGCAATTTTGGTTTATGAAATAAAAAAAAAATCTCAGAATTTGAAGCTTTTCATTTGATAATTTTATACTCTTATAGTAACGGTTTTAAAATAAATTCTATTAAAATAAATATCTACATAAAATAAATATAGTTCCTATTACCACACATTTGGTAAAAAATAGAAAACAAAAAGTAAAATTAACCGAATAAATAGTATTTATTCCATGCTTTCAGGCCTCATGACAAAATTACCAAATTTTATTATATTTACCAAATTTTATCACATGTTATAAAACAATGTTTTATTGTTAATTTTACCAAAGCCTTTACTAAAGTGCTTCGGTTAAAATTACCTTGAGAAATTTGATTTTCCTACAGAACCAAAAATAATGTTAATTTTACTACATTCTGGTAGTTTATATCATACTTTTTTTCTCGGTGTATGGTATTTGCGTAACTATAACTTTCTCGTTCGATTAAAATAAATAATGAGTTTTATGTTATACAAATAGAACTAAAATGCATACATTTAATAGTTTGTTTTAAAAAATGTTCAACATAATAATAAGAAAAAAATCTTGCACTATTTAGACATATTTTTTTCTTTTATTAAGCTTCCTAAAATCCGCATTTATCTGCAACTGAAATGAAAGGGAAAAGTTTCCTTTTCTAAACCAGATCTTTTTTTTCTTTGCGATATGCTCATGAGATATTCATGAGAAATCATCTCATACTCCGTTCGGTGAATCAGACACGCTTGAATTATTTATCAAAAATAGTAGTTGGCGCCTGTTTTTGACTTCAAATGCGCCTTCTCAGAGCCGAAAACTGTATCTTCCTTATCTTATAGTCCTACACACAGATGAAAAAAAAATATAAAATAAAATGAAAAACAAACATATGTCTGTTCAAAAGTATATCTGACCAAAAACCAAAAAGCAAATTTCAATTCCTATGTGGTTTTTTATTCAAGGCAGCAACATCCTATGATGTACTTAGTAAGCTAAAAATATATTCGACCAGTAAAAAAAGAAATAAAATCCCAAAAGGAATTTGTTTTTGAGTGCTTGTGAAAATATTTCACAGAAAACAGGTTTTTAGGATTTTATTTTATTTAAGTGATATTAGTAGTTAAAATAATAGTTGTTAATATATTCTATCTGGCGCTTGTTGTATGTATCTGAGAGTAAATAACAATTAAATGATAATGTAAGGAAAAGAAGAAAAAACCTTTGATAAATATTTAAAAAAAAATCATTGCAACTTTTGTTGAGAATTTGAAAAGTTTCTGACAATTTGGCATCAAATCGAAAAAAAAGGGCTTTTAAAAGTACAGCTCATGTATTGGTAGATAAAATTTTTAAAAGATGAGGAGAATAAGATAAAAGGCTTAGGTGCGCTATTTCTTCTCAACACAAGTTCTATAGATTTGATATTTGCATTTTGCCTGATAGACGACTTAATTTTTAACGACCTTGTTCGCGGATTAATTTCTTTTACTTCATGTTGCCCTTTATATAATTGACTGTTCTCAATAAGTAATTGATATTGATTATGGTTACAATTTTCTTTTCATTTCACCAACCTTTTCACTGTTATCACAATCATGTAAATATCCGAGGATATTTTCCTTTAATTTTATTTTAATCACTTTGGCTGTATATTTTTGCTCCTAAACTTCTGTTCTGTTATCATATTCGGGATCAATCTCTCAGTTAATGAGATATTTGAATGAACATCATTATAAAATAAGATCAAGACAAATCATTGCAGGATTAAATTATAAATCCATTTTATTATTCATCATTAATTTTCTATTTAATATCTTCCCACGCTATCTCATATCAGCTTTAAATGCTGTCTATTTCTATATCGATGCACTTTAAGCATCGTCTTCTGTACACTGTTACAGATAAGCACCAAACATTTGCTTTTATTAACGTAATAAATAGTCAAAATTAGCTTTATAAATTGCTATTTATTAATCTATATTGTTCAGAAATACCTCTTAACGCTACCTTAAATTTTCTTTGTGCACGATATATAATGAACAATAAACTCTATTTCATCCATTGTGTCAGTAAAAGTCAATTTCTGTTAATCGTTAGTAGTTTAATAGTTTTTCTAATTTGTTTTAAATCACTCTAATTTTTTTAATATTTGCACTGTCTTTTACTACATAGTCACTTATTAATTTTTTCGTTCATTTTACCAAAATGCATAAAAACTTCAACCAAGTCATTTTTTTAATAAAAAATGTACTAAAGGAAAAATAATGTTTCATTAATATAAGAAAATCTTACGATCAAACGCTTATATTGTATCGTAGTTCATAAATAAAAGAAATTGGAAACTCTTAACATTATTAATGACATTGTTTTTATAAAATGAGCTTCACATTGTTAAAATGTTAATGCTCGCAATGTTCGCAATGTTACAGTGCAATGAGTTTCACAATGCAATGAGTTTCACAATGTTAAAACATGCAATTATCTAAAATATTTAAATTAATTTCTTTCACAAGAAAGAAAATTAAGCCTTTAAAATCTGTCTGTGCCAAAATTTATAAATTTTTTTTTATGAAGATTAAAATAAGAACAAACAACAGAGTTATTAACAAACACACCAGCTTAAGCATTAAGTATTTATACACAGCTTCTAAGAAAATAATACTAACTCCAAAGTATCCTACAATACACAAGTTTAATAATTAACCTAGAAGTCAATTTAAATTCGCAATCCAATTACTCGAATAACATACGAAACTCCACCGTTTGTATTAGCTTGGGGTTTAATTTCGAAGTGGAAACAATTAATTCCTCTTAGTTCTCTTCCTGACCCGTAAGAAGAATTAATTTTAGAGCTGCCCGAAAGGATTTAGAAAAGTAAGGATGTCTAAAAAAGAAAAGGAAAGAAGAGATAAAAAATGGAAAAAAAAGTAGCGAAAAAGAGTCTTACTCCGAATGTCTGATCCAGGTGTCTTCGGAGTCTTAATGGGAGAGAGCATGCCATTCTTTTTCTTTGGCGAAGTTGACTTCTGCGGCTTTTGTGGAGATGGAGGAGTCTAAAAGAGATACATAGGATTCCAATGATAAAAGAGCCGTTATTATTTAAATTTATAAAAACAGGGTTAAATATCTCACTCATTCCTTGCATTTTTTTCGCAATTTGTGCACTTTGCATTTTTTTTTTTTTGCAGTAAAATGCTACCTACAAAAGCAGATTTGGAGCTGATAGTTAAGGGTTATCAGGAACTGATTATGACCAAGAACACATGACGTTTTAATTTTTGAAAAATTTTGCTTTACTTCCTTGTCGTGCAATAAAAATAAATCTCCCAGATCATCATACTTATGGAGACTCACACCGAATGTCTGATCCAGGTGCCTTCTGAATCTTAATCAGAGAGAGCATGCCATTGTTTTACTTCGGATAAGTCTACTTCTCCGAATTTTGTAAATACGGATGAGTCTATACGAGATAAATGATATTCTAATGGTAAAAAAGCCATTTTTTAAATGTATATAAAAGGTAATGTGAAATACATTATAATATGCTTCTTCTTTTCTTATTCAAACTCGAAGTACTCTCCGACAACGCATGTTCAATTTTCCAAGCAGACAATATGAAATCAAGCCATTTTTTGATCTTTCAAGGACTAGAAAAAACTTTTAGGATAACGGAGACATTAAAAAATTATATTGGGAAGCAAGAATACTAATGAATTCTTTGTAATCAGACTTCTATAATTGAAATGGTTCTTTCTCTCCTTTTTAACGGCTTATTGTCCCTTTACAAATTTATTTGCTTATTGCTCACATTTTACTGTTCATTTTGTATTGTTGTTTCTGCTACTTAGTGATGCAGTGGTTTCTCATAACAAAATATCATAAATCTACTAAGCATTTGAGCTTAGTGCAATTTCTGCAATTAAAACGTTCCGAAGAAATAAGATGATATTTGATAGTTTAGAATAATTAAAATAATTCCGCATTTCATCTACAAATTTCATTTCACAGCACGTTTTCCTTTTGAACAACGTTGTGTTATTTGTTTGTCGTATATAGTGTTTTCATTTTGATGATAAAATTTAACCACGATATGCTATTTCATGCTGTTGGACTTCATATTATTTTGAAGAATAGATTTCATAGAATATTTTTGAAGTGGCACCAGAAAAAGAGGTTGAGGTAGGGCATAGAACTAACAAGCCTATCCTGTAAGAAAATTGTCACGAGATCCAAAGAAGTACGAACAACAAATGGCAAACTGTTCTATCTGTTTGATAGTACTGAAGGTATACAAATCAATACTCAATAACATCATAAGTTCAATACCACCTGAATGGTATTTTGTATCCTATACACAAAAAGGTTGATGCACTGAATTTCGAAAATTATAGAGAAAGAAGTTTGTTATGCGTCAAGATAGCAAATAGTCAAGATTGACTTAAAGGAAGCAAAAGAAGGTCAACAATTGACTTAATCTTCACCTTGACACAAATTTTAGAGAAATGCAAAGAATTCGGAATAGAAATCCAACATCTGTTTGCAGACTTTAGAGCAGCCTATGATAGTATGCATTGATCCGATTATTATAATGACCTTATAATGTTTCCAAGTTCTATTAAAATTAATCAAACTAGCGATATTTACCGGTACTGAAACCAATTTGATTGTATGAATTCAAGGAAAATTAATCACCTCTTCAGAGATTTATAATGGGGAGACATAGACAGAGAGATGCATTTGCATATCTTCTGATTTAGTTTAACTCCACGAAAAGAAATCTAAGATACTGGTATTTATGCTGGAGACACCATATTTAATAATTCTGTAATTATGTTGAGATACGCTGATGATGTAGCTAGATAAATGAGTTTAAGGGTGGGTCACACTGTTAAAACTTTCATTCTAAAATTATGGTAAAATAACTGGCATCTGTCTGTCCATCCGATTAACCGTAAAGTTTACGGTAAAGAACATTTTTTTCCTTTATGGTTTTGAAACCATTTACAAAAGGTATGGCTATAAAACCATGAAAACAAAACTATACGGTTTTTTAACCATTTTCAACTAGCATTCTTCAAAAACGTAAAAAAAAATATATATTATTTAACTAGACACAGGAGCTCGGTTTTTCGTAAGGTATTGGACATTGGAGAGTGCCGGAAACTGGAAATTCTTCATGTGTTGAAGGGAACCGAGGAAATATTGTGGTGTCAACACTAGGACTCGAACTCCAATTCTGCCAGTCATGACATTGACAGATAAACCCGCTCGGCTATGATATATAAGCAGTTGCAAAGAACTAAATACTTTCATAAGGTGGTTCTAGCTGGTGCGATAAAATTCTGGTTGCTTAACAGTATTAGGTGAAAGCAGTTAATAAACAGTTTGATTAGTATTTTATTTATGGTCATTTTACTGCCTTGATTAAATATGGTTAAATAACCATTCAATAAATTGTTATTTAACCATTTTTTCAGAAAAATTTCTAACAGTGCAGAGTGTAAAGAGCAAAAGATATGTTTTGTGTTACAAAGGAAACTATTCCTTAAATATTTGAAGTGAATATTTTAAATTTTTAATGTGTAACAAATGTTGCCTATTTAGGATAAGAAATAAGCGAATAGCATAAGCATCAAAATAGCATAAGTCCTGAAATCAGAAAAAAAGTTATTGATGATAATTGTTGTTTCTTCAGGTTCAGATAATTTTTAAAATACCATTTAATAAAAAAAGAAATACAAGCATTGCTATACAAGGTATTGATAAAATCTATTTTGAATTATCATGGACATCATCAGAGACATGGGTCTTGGCAAAAAATGAAGACTGCAACAATCTTTGATGGAAAGGTTGGGAGAACGATCGTTAGTGCTGTTCTCGATAATAATAATATCTGGAAAAAAGATATAATTTCATAATTTATAAATCTAGGTAGAATGCGATGGCCAGATCATTCAATAAGAATGAGTCCCTAAGTGAACAGAAATGATGGTTTTTAACACCAACCACACAGACCAAAAGACCAAGAGGAAGACTCAAAAAGCGATTGAAAGATTGTGTGAATGAAGATTTTACTCTCCTGAAAATGTAGATCTGAAGATCAATTTGTGGGAGAAGTGCAGATTCAGGAATTTTGTAAGGAAGGAGTAAGATCACAAGGGGCTGTCTTGTCAGTGCTGATAGTGAAATTTTCTAGAATTGCATTATATCCGTGCTAAAGAATAGTCTTGAGAATAATAATCAATAACGATTAATCATTTTTAACGAGTAATTGCATAACATTTATGAATTAAATAAGAACACGTTAGTTAAAATAAATAAGTGACTCAGTAGATCAAAATGCATTTGTTAATAACTTAATATGAATATAAAAACAGTGCAGATTTAAAAAAAAATTGAAATTTGGACTCGTAAGAATTTTGTACATAATGAATAAAGTTTATATTAAAACGTAGTAGTGAAGATGTATGTGAACTACTCATCCAGTTATAATTTTACTTAAAATTACAAATAGGTTTTCTTTTTGTAACAAAAAAAGTTATTAATCAAAATTAAAGTAGTTAGTTGAATTAGCATTGTGTTTAAGTTGTTATCATAACATTCTTTAAAATTGTATACTCAATACTTACTATTATATATATAGAAGAACTTGACAAAAATGGTGTCCTGAAACATTTCTTTAAAAAAGTCCACGTGCATGGAAAACAATAAATTACTTTCTTTTACAAAATATTAGTGTGAAAATTGTAGTAATATAACAATAATTTGCATATGTGCGATTCATATTTAACATATGTGCGTGTCTAAATGTACAATTTTTGAAAGTAATAGTATGCAATTTTCATATTTTTTTTAAGTTTGTGACAATGCTTTGGCTTTGATTTTACCATTGATATGCATGAGTTAAAACTTAGTCACTATATTTTAATAATGAATTTATTGTATAAATATTAAAAAGTAATTAATGGACATGAAATTTGCGATTCTAATATTATACATGCTATTAATGATTCCAATTGTATAATTAGAAATCATTCAATAAGGCTCAAATCCAAAGCTATTTAAAGCAAACCAATATTAGATTTTGCAGAAATTAATCGCGTTCCTTTCAGCAAGATTAAAAAATTCTACCTTGGTATTGGGAGTTTGGGTTTATGTCAGAAATAGAAAATTGCTGTTAATCAAAATATAAAATATAAGTGTGATAATTGCAGGAATATAATAATAACTTACATATGTACGATTCCTATGTTAAACATGCGGATGTCTAAATATGCAATTTTTAAAGTAATAAAGAGTAATTTGGTGTTTTTTAAACTTGTGCCAATGACTGAACTTTCTTTTACCGGAGATTCGTGTGTGTTGAAACTTAGGCACTATATTTTTTTTAAAAAAATGGAATCTATTGTGTAAACATTAAAACGAGAATAATTGAACATGAGCTTTGTGATTCTAATATATTCTATCTAATGATTGCAATTAAATTGCAAGAAATCATTAAATTAGGTACAGTACCAAAGCTATTTAAAACAAACCAAGATTAGATTCTATAGAATTTAATCTCGTTCCTTTCAGCGATATTCCAAATTATATCTCAGTATCGGGAGCTTGGTTTCATGTCATCAGTTGAAAATGGTTGTTAATCAACAGATTCCTCATTCCCTAATGCCCGAAACATATACCCGAGGAAACCATCAACACCGCTGCACCCCGAATTTAATTCAGACACGAGAGAAATCAAATAAACAGAACGCTTTAATCTTACAGCCATTTACAACCAAAGCTGGCACGCTCTTTGCAGAAGCAATCAGTCTTGAGTAGCAAAGAAAACGCTTGCGTCTTGAACCCGTTCGTAAAGTCTTGGAAGAGATGCGTTTCCCTCGTCAATCAAATCTTTTCCCTTTTGAAGCACCTTGCGAACTTCCAATTCCCTTCCTTTCATTAACTTCAGCCTGTGTCGAGGGACATTCTCTTTTCCTTTTCCCTTATTTTCGACATTTGTTACCGACTTAGGAAGAAAATCCTGAGAAATGGTGCTCTTTAGGAAAGAGAAGTATTTATTTAGGCAAGTTTATCTTGTATTCTTACGGTTGTTAAAAGCTAAACATTGGAATAGTTGGGATTTAAGAAGATTACTTATAGAATCAATTCTCATTGGAAAGGGAATATATTTGAGTATATAAGTGCTTTGAATCACATAAACAGTAAAATGTTTGAGTCAAACATGTTACAAAAACAAACTAATGGAAATCAATGAAGGATGTTCATAATTTGTTTTATTTCTAAAATAAATTTTAAGATGCTGAATTTATTGAAAAATAATACTTTTCAGAAGGTACTAAAGTTATACAAATATTATTCTCATTTATAAATCTAGCAATTGACTTTACTCTGTCTTTACTGCACTATTTTTATACGAATCCCTAGTTCAGCTCGAAAAAATGACTATTTTTGCTACACTGAATTCATCATGTAGTTATTTTTACTACATTTTACTATTCATTACTAAATTAAAACTATTTACTTTTAATTAAAAACTATTGACTACTAATCACTAAATCAAAACTATTTACTACTAATTAATAATTTGAACACTAAATTTTTACCTCAATAAACTTTATTTATTTATTTATATATTATTATTTTGTAATTTTCTGCTTTGGACTATTCTGCAGTTCTCATTCTCATAATTCTGCAGTCTAGGTTACCAATTCTTAAAAAAAAAATGTTTAAGGAAATAAAGGATATTTTTTATTTACGATTTTTTATTATCGTTTAATATTTCGAATTTTAACAATAACTAAATACATTTATGATTAATTTATGATAGAAACCTATTTTCATCAGTAAGGAATGTTAATCTATTTCAAATTTGAATTTGCAAAAATAGAAATTATGTATTTAATATACGATTAAATAGTTGATACGCAATTGCAGACATGTATTGCAATAATTTTTACTTTCATTTCTCATTTTGGACGTTCCGGGTTTTAATGCTTCATTAAATCTTTTGCGATGCAAGACAGTTTTGTACTCTTTCATATAAGATTAAAATTATTATTTCTACAATAAAATACAGTTTTATTAAAGTTATCTTGACTATTACCAGAATAATTTTGCTTCCTTATTTCATTTTTAAACACAATTTAAAGGATAATCAAGTTCATCAAAAAATGAACAGTCGCTATTTGTTAATTATTACAATCAGTAATTAAAATACTACATGACCTTAAAATGTTCGGCAATTTGAAAAATCATTTAGAGAAAAGCAGTAGAAGATTGTATGACTTTCTAAAATCTGCTTAAGGAACAGGAGTCTATTCTTACCGATTTGAAAATTTAAGTTTAGAGATAAACAACAGATGACGCTACCAATTAAAAATTACCCAGAGCAATGTTTTCAAAATAACTGTAATTTGCAACCAAAATGTGGTGATATCGGAGAATAAAACTTAACAAATATGTTTGCAAAGGCATTCAAAATATTGTTTCTAATTTTTTCTAGTTAATGTCGTCTGTCAGTTATCTTTCAAGAAACTTTGCAGACAAATTAGTAATTTGAAAACTAAAGTAACTGAATTAGTAAATATAACTATTTTAGGAAATTTGGAAAGAGCTTTATAATTAATAGCAATTTAGTCATCAAACGAAAATGTTCTAACTCCTTTCATTTTTCTTCATTTATTTTAAAAAAAAAAACAATTTTGTATACCCAATAAATTTCAATCATTGTTTAACAGAAATATAGTTTTTAAGAAAATTTGGATGTGCGTATTTCATTAATTAGTCTCATGTAAAAAATAATTTTTTTTTTTAACTACATGCTTAGATAATCATAACATTTATACCAAAGTCAAAATATATTATAGTATTATTAACAATAAATAATAAATCAATATAAATAATAACTCAATATAAAATTATATTGCAGACGAATCATTAATTCTAAATATGGTAAATGATAAGAGTTTTGAGGGGTTTTATGCTATACAAATAAATGTTTTTAATGAGGTCAAAGATTTAAAGCGGTTAATGTTTTAATGATGATAAACTATATGTGAGTTTTGATATATTACTTTACTAGCCAAAAATAGTTATTATTATTGGACCTTTTAACAATGAAATATTTTTCCCCACGGCAAAGTAGCCAATATTTCTTATTATTCTACCGTAAAACGTGTTTAAGAAGAAAAAAAACTAACATTTTACAAATTTGGTTGATTTCTTTTATTAAAATTTTCTTTCATCTAAGTTCATAAGAATTAATTTAATATTAAAGAACAAAAGTTCATTTTTATGAAATGAAAGAAAAATTTACAAACTGAAAACCTAAAATACCAAATATAAAACACGTTACTTAATCAGTTATATATTTATGCATTTATTCAGAATAATAATTTTTATAATGATGAGTTCATATAAGCATCTTATTTCAGTCTTATAACTTCATAAAATATTATACTTTCCCTTCATAAGAAAAAAAATTATTTATACTTACCTTTATTGATTTAGGTGGCGATGAAGCTGGAGATACACCTAAGAACAAAATATGTTGTTGTTAATTAACAAATAAAGCAAATTTTGTTTATGTAATGAATATTTCATTTTTTCTTTTAATAGGAAACTGTATTAGTTTAGAAATATATATTAATACAGGGTGGTTGGGAATTCATGGTACAAACTTTAAGGGTAGATACAGTAACAATCAATACAGACGCAAGTGAAGCGATGAGGCGGAAACACCAAAAATAAGAGACAAAAGGAAAGACAATAAAGTGTTTATTAAAAGCGTCGTTGGCAAGTACAGCATTTACAATAACTGTTCAAAATTGCATCAACCAGTAAGCGATGCATGTTTGACAGCGTGGGTGGAGCGATTGGCGCACACGTTCAAAGATGTCAGATATTTCACGCACTCGTGCAGCAACTTCGGATATTCGAGCAACGGGATCCTCATCTGAGTAAAGTGGCGTCGCATAAACACGATTTTTCAGATGTCCCCATAAAAAGAAATCGAGACTCGATAAATCGGAAGATCGTGGTCGCCCAGAGACTGGTCCACCACGCCCAATCCATCGCGTCCCAAACGTGGCATTCAGGTAAGTGTCACCAGTGCTGAAGTGGGATGGTGCCCCATCATGCTGAAACCACATGCGGTTACAAATGGTGATCGGAAAATCCTGCAGCAGTTCTTGTAACACCTGTTCCATAAAAATAAGATTACATTCGCTATTAAGTTGATTAGTTAGTACGAATGGGCCAATCAAAAAGTCGTTTACAATACCAGCCAACACATTCATGCAGAATCGCTGTTGATACGCATGTGATTGCGCTACATGTGGATTTTCAGTTGCCCACACATGAGAATTGTGTGCATTAAAACATAGCCACCGTGAAATAAGACTGTCGAGAACACTTGGGTATTTTAGTGACGTGAACAACAGTGGTGTATAGCTGACAAGCGGCAAGCTGCCAATTTCAAAGATTTGCCACTCCTTGAACAATACGTTTGTCCGACGGATATAAAATATCGCAAAATAGAGATTCCTCAAGAAAATTATTAGTATAATATGTTGCATATATACTAATGATGTATATATAGTTATTATATACATTATAAACATTTATAATAATGTATAATAATGTATATATAATGTATGTATAATATCGTATAATAATGTATATATAATGTATATATAATATTGTATAATAATGTAATGTATATATAATAATGTATAATAATGTATATACATTTTATAATAATGTATATATAGTTTATAGCAGAAATTGCTTAATAATTAAAAAAATTAAGCAGGGTAAAAGAGAAGAAAATATTTAATACTTTTTCACGAATTACATTCTAAGTGTTTGTTAAATCGTAAGTTTTTAGAAAAAAAATAATAAAATGGAAAAAATATAAAAGCATTTATTAAAATTACTCTTCCTGTCATTCAATAAGATACATCTCACTAATTGATATATTTTATAAAAGATACATTTGAATGAATATGTATGCATATGTATAAACTATTGTTTCAAAACTTGTTTATATAAACTCTTCCAGACTTATAAGATAAACATGAAAATCTGAATAACATGAGAATACCATATTTAATCTGGAGCAAACTCAAAATGTATTTATCTTTAAGATTGCAAAAAATCTAAATTTAATTTTCTTTAATGAATCTTTAACTTTAGTATATATAATAATAGGGCAGATCGAAAAATAATAACATAACAATTTAATAATATGTTTTTTTTCCAAATTTGTACAAAAAGATAATACAAGGAAGAAATATTGATTAGATAATATTAGGGGAAAATAACATATTCTAAGAACATAGAGAATATTCCTTAATGAACGATCTTTTATATCTTTAATTCCTTAATGAACTGAACAATCTAAAAGTTTTATCTTTAATATCTTCTAATTAACATTAGAAATCAAAAATTATTATTATTATTATTATATATATATTTCCTTTTGTATTATATAAAAAGCTGATTTTGTGAGATGTAAAGGAGGTTTACATTTCCCAACCTCAAAACAACCTCAAAAACATCTTTTTTCATTTCATGCAAGAGTAACCCCTCTAGATCTTAGCTCTTTAAACAAATACAGATTACAGATTCCATCGAAACAACATATTTCGTTGAGAAAAGTTTTCCTACCTAAAAGAGTTATGGTGAAATTTAAAAACTGTGGTAAACTTTACTGTACTTTTGGCTCTATAGAAACAACAAAAACCTTTATAATTTTTACCATGGTAATGCTTATGATTAAGTTAACAATAAAATATTGCTTCAAAATGAGAGTTAGATTTTGGTTAAAGTGGGAAAATTTAGTAATTTTATCATGATGTCTTATAGCATAGCATAAAAGTTATTAAAGTGCTGTGTTAATAATTTTTGTAAAATTTACATTNCATCGTATTTGTGAACATTTATCTCTAGGGGTCGCCGAAAATTTTCTCTCTACAAAAGGGGTCGCAGTCGAAAAAAGTTTGCGCACCACTGTCTTAGAGCATAGCATAAAAGTTATTAAAGCGCTGTGTTAATAATTTTTGTAAAATTTACATTAAGAGATGGTTTTATTATATTATGTGATAAATTTTGGTAAAGGTAGTTGAATTTAAGTTTGGTAAAGGTAAATAAATTTTGGTAATTTTATCAGGAAGCCGTAGTATGGCATAAAAACTACTTATTCGGCAAAATTTACTTTTCAGTTCAATATTTTTTACTAAATGAGAGGAAATAAGAGCTATAATTCTTAAAGCCAGAATTTTTCGTAAACCGTTATGTAAGATATGAACCCGATGACAGGCTTAAATGACATATACTTTGGATTTATTAACCAAACTTATGTCTCTTTTCTATGTTGACAAGAAATGATAATACCATACAGTACAATAATTTCACAATTGCATTGCTTTATTATGTAAGTTTTCACATTCGAAAGCATTTTTATTTTGTCATTAATTTCATTGAGTAAGAAAAAAATTAAGCTGTTCGGAATTTTATATTTGCAAGTCCATTATTTTCCTCTTGTTATCTCTTACTTTATTTAATTCATAGTTTTACTAATTCTATCCTATTATAAAGTCTACAAATTATTTATAATTTCAGTGAATTAAAATTATTTCTTTTCTGAGAATGAAATAAGTAAAAGAAATTCATAAAGAAATATTATAAATATTTAATAATATCACAGTACTCTAATTATGTTTTTTTTTTTAATTTTGAACATCTTATTTTGGCTTTAGATAGTTTGGGATAAGCTTGGTATATATGAAATTGCTTTAATAAGTGCAAAATGTTTAAAATAACTTTAAAAAAAATTGCTAAAAAACACATAAAACCACTGAATATCAAAAGCAACTAATTCTGCTCAGTTTACATAAATTTTCCCTATTTTTATTGTTCCTTTTTAAACATTACATTTTAACTGATCATCTGAGAGATGTTTAATCTCATTTTACACATAAAATATAAATACATTTTTAATTAATCATTTGAAACAAAAAAAAATGACAAAAAAATTAAACTTTCACTTTAATTTTCATTGCACAAATTTATAAGAAAACTACATGCACTTGTTCTAACTATTTTCCTTTAATCTTCTGATTAAAATGCCATTTTGGTAAATCCACTGAGTTTTATTTAATCCATAATTTAAATTCATTTTAATTTTTTTTAAAATTGTCATAAAAATTATTAAGGTACTAACTTTTGTTTTACGAAAAAATAATCAAACAAAATTTCTCTGATAATAATTAGTTTTCGTTTATAATTCATTTCATCTAGAGGTGTAGTAAAATATTATATATAAACCAAATAAAAATTTAAAATTGAACCAAAAGACAGTTTAAATATTATACTAATTATAATTCAAGTTTATTTATTATTCGTATTTAAAATTCTGTAGCGTCAAACATATAAGAGTATTAATAAATGTAACAGTTGGTGTTTTATTAAAGATAATTTTTAATCAATAATGGGAAGTACTTCATTTTTTTCTAAATTCAACATATGAACACTATAAAATCAAAAATTCAAACTCAAGCCTTCCCTTATTATTATCGCATAGTTAAGAAAATAATTAAGTGACATAGTAAAAAACGGATTATTCTTATAACAGCACAACTGATGTTAATATTTTTAGGAAATATCTTCAAGTCAGGAAAACTCTTTTGGAAAATTCCGTGCATTACGATCTAAAGAAAACTCCCTAAGGAAAACTCCTAAATATAACATTATTGCGATATGTATTACTGTGACGTGTCTTTTCACGTAAGTATCGCAATAATGCTAACCATTTGATTTTAAGAAACATTTGAATCTTTAGTTATTTGGAAAAGCTGCAGTACTTGCGAGTGAACCTCGATTTTACTTTTGGGAGTAAAGTTTTACAGCTTAAAACCAATAGCTTCCTTTGCACACACCCAAATATTTATGAGTTTCAATATACATTTGAAGATACGCATTTCTAGAAACTTTAAATATTAATAACTTTGAGATTACTTCGAAGTCACATTTGTCTTTATTGTTGGAAATCACTTTTGTTAAATGGTGGCCTGCGTTTTTAACATTTCCCAAGCCTTTATACATCTTTTTAATAAACTAATTTTAATCTACGTCAAATTGTAGAAATTTCTTCAGTATGCTTATAAAGGCAGTTAACGAAACCAATTATACATCTCACTGGGGTGAGTTATCACGAATGTTATTTCTTGATTAGCTGGCATCTATTCTCACGATTTTTAGTGCCAGCAATTTTATGAAATTCTTCAGTAGGTATGATTTCTATTTTAATGAATTTCTTCCCAAATTTTTTTTTCTCAAATGGAACTTTTTCCACCGTCATTGTTTTGTTTATTTATTTATTTTAAACTATTTTATTTATTTAATTATTTTGTGAAAAAATATACTGGATGTTCATAAAAGTGATAATTCGATCATGGGTTAGAGTCCTAAGTGGTAAACCGATGATCCTCTGGCCATCATGCAAACCATGTTTTCGTGAATTTCCTCTACGTTTAACGCAAATGTGGTTTAGTTCCATTGAAAAGTCCTCCAGTACTTGATACAGGAGTTCTTGATACTTGATACTTTATTTCTGATACTTGTCTTCTAGACTGAGTTCAAAATTATAAGGCTACGGAGTCGAACTTTGGTAGTCGTAAATTAATAAATGGGTTGGCTGTTCGGGGATGGTTATAAAATAAAAAAAACTACTGTTTCTTTTGATGTTAACGCGCAATAAATATGAGATAGCTTGAATTCTTTATGAATGAAGAAAGAGTGACTGGGCCACCTACTCTAAACCTATGTGGTCTTAGGCGTGATCTATGGTCAAAAGAATTGTGATATATGGGTTACTTACTATTATTAAGAGTTTTAAATATATATTGCACCATCCTTTATAAATTAGAGCTTTCTGTATAATATAAATTTTTGAAAATTTCTTTTTAAAGAGTTCCATGCATTCATCAATCATGATTTTCTTGTTTGAAAATTGTCTTAATTCTTTTTAAAAATTGTATTCACTTTTTTTGGAAATTATATTTACTCTTTTTGTAAATTATGCTCACTCTTTTTGGAAAAAGAAGTGGCTTATTTTAAAGTTAAAACAAGTGGTATTATTAACATCTTTTTATTTTAGTTTCGCTGCTTCTCTGGACGTATGCTATTAAGCAAAAATGAGTACTCCTAATCAGTGTAATGCTATATATCTAGAGCGCAAATAAAAAAACAAAACAAAGGAAGTGGAGGGAAGAAATACACACATTGCTATAAATTATTAAAGATCTCTAAAAGCACTTTGTTTACAATAATAAAAAATCGTGATTTCATGACATAAATCTCGTGAAGCAAAATTTGAAAATTTAGAAAAGACACTGAATGATTGACGCAATATTAAGAGACATCTTTTGAAAAAATTAAAATGTGTTTATAATCTTTAATGTAATATTTTAAATTACACTATTACTTTATTAGAGCAAAAATCAGCGTATTAATGAGTTACATATAATTGTATTTAAAGTGTAGCATGTTTTTGAAAAATAAGTACAGTATTTATGAAATACAAGTAAATATTTGAACTCATTTTATTTAGTCACAATAAAATGACTTCACTTTTTTTGTTTACTCCACAGGGGTCATTATATCGATCGTCGACTGTATTTACAAAAGCTTCCGTTATTTTCCCTTAGTGCTGGTAAAGCAAAACGTACCAAAGCTTTACATTTCAAAAACTTTTCGTTCCTCCACAACTGATATTTTAAAACGTCGGTCTTTTTAGAGAAAGCGTCATTTTCAGAACTTAATTCAATTGTAATAGTAAAATAGTAGATATATTTCATGTCACGTAAACAAAAAGTTTTATTTTGAAAGTTGGAAAAAGGGAAAAGTAGCGCGTTAACTTGTAGGTAACAGTTGTCAAACATTGGACAAATTGATTGTTTAAATAAATAAAAGTGAAATAATTGTTGTTTTGATTTAAAGCGATAAGACACTGATTAAAAAGTCATAAATGTCATAGTTTCATATTTCTTACTATATATAAAAATCTAATGATGGTGTCGCAGTTTTTCACATTTTTATTGGCTGGAAAATCACGTGGTAGGATCCAGTTTTCCCACATTCATTTTCATATTGGTTCGGTTGTCATCAGCATAGAATTGATATCAGTCATGAAGTTATTGCTTTCCTATCAATATTTTGATTTCCCTAATTTAAAGAGTTAAAATTGCCTGTACTGTTATTACGTTTTTGATTTTGTTTTGTTTCTAAAATAAAACTTTAGGAGGATTGTTTTTTCAAAATTATTTTTATTAGAATAATGTAATTCTACATTTACATTTTAAGATAAAGTTCTTTTAATCAGCGTCTGATCTTATTAACAGTTTTACGGTTATTATTTTTTGTTGCTAATGACATTAGTATCTATATTATATAAAACGCTAATACGTACGTATGTATGTATCAATAAAACCGATGATATTTCTTTTCTCGCGCTGGCAACAGTTTTCATTTTTAATTGATTGGATTCGGCGCGCAAGAGCACGTAGTGAGCAACCAGATAACAATAACCAGAGTGAGCATTATCAGGTTGTTCAATTCAGATTCATGCACTAAAAACATGACAATATTTAATTTAAACTCAATTAGGAATTAATTAATTAATTGAAGTGAGAATGCTTTAAAAGGCCGCTGTTGAATTGATATTTTTCTACTGGGAGCTACCTAAACGTCTAAAAAACGTTTAAGTGTTTGTATTGAATGCATTGAATTTTTTTATATTTCGCGTTTATTTATGCATTGAATTTTCACGCTTTAAAATGCAGAATATTAGTGAAGCAATATTTGATAATTTATTTTGCTAATATGTTTCTTATTTAGCTAATGTTTTGATTTTTTCACCATGTACAATCTAAATAGCTAATATACTTTTTTAAAAGCCAATAAGAACATTGGTAGAATTCTTCTACATAAGTACAATACTATGTCTTTGATGATAAAATACTATGTCTTTGATGATAATATATTATGTCTTTGTGCTAGAACATTGTGTTCATTGGCGAGCGAGCGCAGCGAGCCATGGTTCACGGCGTGAACCACATAGGATTGCGTAGCAATTCTCGGGGGTTGGCGAGCGATAGCGAGCAGGGGGCGGAGCCTCCTAGTGTGAAAATAATAAAATAAAAGCACAACATCAAAAAACAGCAAAAAAAAAAAAGAATCAAATCGCATACTTTTTGCATTTGGGATAACTTTTATTCTTGTCTTGGTCTTTTCTTTTTTCATTTTTGCGTTTTCATGTACTTTTTGTTTCTTACAAGTTTTTCTCTTTTTATTTTTTAAACAAGAAACTACTTACGATTATTTTGAAATGCGTTAATATTTATTTCGTCTGTTAGTTTTACCTTGTCTGACTGACGGAAACATTACAACAAAAAACTCTTAAATGGTTAAAGACGTTGCTTATTTTTTTATTACCTGACCATAATTTAATTATAGACATATTTTAATTCAACAATTTAAATATCCAGTTACTTAAATTATTAAAATGTTTTTAGTATTGCGAGGACCTTATTCAAAACATCAATCAATGCGTATTTGTGACGAAAAAAAACTTTTTATTTGCAATTTTTTACTTTACTGTAAAGGCAAAAACAAACATTATTCATAACTTGGCTCCCTTAAATATTATGTTTTGAGAAATTAAAAGCTACGAAAAAAGTGAGCAACGCAAAATCTAAAAGCGAAGCATTTTGTAAATTGTGCACTCAAATGAACATAGGGTGCTCCACCCTATGCTCATGTAAAATTGTTGAATCCGCATAATTTTCAATGAAAAAAAAATCTAGCAGAATTTTAAAATGCTAAGCTATAAGAAACTGCGCAAATGCTCTGCAAAATTCCTAGCGTTTTCTTGCTTCACATCGTGTCAATTCAATGGAATGTTCAATAGTATTGACATACCTTCTAAAGGAGATTTGGGAGATATTCTTCCTAAAGGATGCAATCCTGAACCTCCCCATCCACTGCCAGCTTTAGGTGGAAGACGTAGCTGAGGCAAGGATCCTAAGAGGAGAGAGCCGTCAAAAAACTGAACTTACGACACTGTATTATCACGACACTGGTGTGCAATCTTCAAAGCAGCGGTGCAAAAAGCAGGTGCATCCTCCATTGTGCAGCAATTGCAAAAGTGAGTCATACATAACATGAGTGTGAAGCTAAGTGAAGTTTGCAAAGCACAAAATATCTGAGTCAGTGCAGTAGATATTCAATTATAAATTATATTTTCAAATTACCTAGGAGATTTTAGGGTTGATTTCACGTTTTAAAATCACTAAAAAGTAAATAAAATTTTATTTTGTTTTGTTTTGTTATCTCTTTGAAACCCCAGAGAGAAAAGATGAAAATAGTCCTTTTAGGGAAAATGGTGGTTTATCAAGTATTTGGATTATTCTGCAGCCTGCATGTCTTTCACAGACATTAACATAAAATATTCATCAGAAAATATATGCTTTAAAAATATTTTAATGACCTTAAGTCAATAAATAACTTAAGTGAAAACTGTTCATTTCATTTAAAACATTGCAACTAAACAAGAACAAATATTTAAGGAAATGATGATGATTTGTTTATGATAATTTTAATGTAGTTAACATTAATGATAAATGTTAATGATATTAATTCACTGTAGTTTTTTAATATGTGTAATGAGGGAAGTCTTGCTGCTTCCTTCATTAGCCGTATTTGATAGTGGTATTATGAATGTTCATTTTGGCCAATATTGAATGAATAAAAACAATAACGTTTCCAGGAAATGATGTACAAATCGTTGAATGTAAATTTAGATTTTATTAAGCATAATTTGTAAATTATAAAATGGCCATTTCTTCAAAAAATAAGAAATCCCTTAAAGGGATGAAAAAAATATAAGAATGCTCTCTATTGAGAGATCATAAAGCCAGAACATTTCTGACCGTTAGAAAATTAAGACTGGGAGGCCCAAAGGCCNTTCGATTAGAGGCGGCAGTGAATTTATATGTCTGCATAATAATGAAATAAAAAGAAAGTATCCGTTACATTGATCTGGAAGAGAAGAAATAAATATCTTATGTTCGCTTAAAAAGATTAAGTTTTTGATTTATTTTAAAAGTAATTCTTCCATTAATAAAAATAAGCTTAAGTAATTAAGGATATTTTAAAAGATAGAAAATAAATATGTGTATGCCAATTCTGGCATCACAATATGTATATTATGTAATGCAGAGAGGAACTCTGTTCAATTCAAGAATAAATAAATAAATAAATCTATTTAATAGTTTTGTCTATGGTTACAGCTATAAAAAAATAGCTATAGAAGTATTAAAAACGAGAAAAATATGTACTTAAAAATACATTTTAATAAATTATTAGATTGAATGCAATAGTGGTTATCTCTAAAGATGATAAAAATATTCTTTCAGAAATATCAACTAAATTTGCTGTTAACACGCAATAACTAAAATGTTCAAATATGGAGCAGAATTATATGTTACGGAACAAACTGTTTTCCAGAAACATCGATACTCTCATAAAAATAATCTTAAGATATAATAAACAATATATTTCCTAGATAAATGGAAGTTGCAGTACAAGGAAATATTTCATTTCAACGACTCTTCATTTTAACTATGAGCGTATTTTTACTGAAACAAGAATCGCGACCACAGTGAGAAGCAGATAAGGATAACCCTTGCGTCGATAAATTTTAAGGTATAATTAGGGAAAATATGAAAAATATTCTGAAAAAAAATGGAGGAAGGTCACATAAAAGCTATATGACTCTAACGCTACACATAAAAAAAAGAGAAAAAAAAAGAAGAAGAAAAAAACACAGCATAGTAAAAATAATTTAATGAAACACAGCGACGAATGACTTCCGTTTTTGGGGTTTTCCTTCAGGCCATATTTTGGATAGGCTGTTCAGCCATGCTTACTGATTGAAAATTAACAAATTTCTATTGCCAATTCGCTCATATTCACCCTATAAAACTTAGCAGTCTTATTAATTACGAATTACCTATTGTAAGGCCGGGATGGCCTGGTTGGTAGGGCACTGGGCCCATGTCCAAGAGTTTGCGGGTTCAATCCCCGTAGGCCAAAGACTCCCCGTGTAGTAAATGGTGACTGATACACGTTAAATCTGTCGAGTTGCAAAGTCCTCCATGTTCCCAAAGCAAATCAATACCTTTGGGGGTTCTGATCCAGGAGTTTCCTTGTCTTCTGGATTGGTTCAAAATTACTGGGCTACGGATTTGAACATTGGTAGTTGTAAGCCCAAATAGGGTCGGCTGTTCAACAACGGATATAAATAAATAATAATTACCTATTATGAGCCGAGATGGCTCAAGGAATAGAGCGTTTGCATTCCAATGAGGTGAACCGGGTTTGAATCCCAGCGATAGCTGTTCGATACGAATTCTGCATCCGGCTTGAACCGACCACAGTATTAACATGAAATATCCTCAGTGGGAAACGGATCATGGGTTAGAGTCCCCATGCCGTCAGGCTAACTGTGAGAGGTTCTCATAATCTTCCTCTCTATGTAACGCAAATGCTGGTAAGTTTCATCAAAAAGTTCAGAACGAATTAAAATTTCTCCCAATACTTGATACAGGAATTCCTTTGTCTTCTGGATTTGGTTCAAAATTACAAGATTGCGTAGTTGAACATTAGTGGTCTTAAACAGAAAAATTGCGTCGGATGTTCAGCCACGGTTATAAAAAAAATAGTTACCATTTATTACTTTATTCAGCTTCCTGAAATTTAGTTTACTTGATTGGCCAAGAATAATGCATTATACAGCCAAATAGTTCATACTTACATTTGGAAAAATTTTCTCTCTCCAATTTCTCAACACACGCAAAATAGTTTACAAATGTGTCTTAATTAAAAATTTATTATTTTGAAGCAATACGAAAAACGCATTGAATTATCGAAATGATATTTTGTTTCTTTATAAAAATTAGCGTTTGATAGAGTCCATCAACAATATTGAGTACATATTATTTGAATTTAATTACAAAATTAGAGGTATTTAACTAAGAACCTGTTTAGAGAAATCTATTATGCTTCGAATTGGAGAATTAAGTTAGATATTGCATTGAACACATTATAGGGCAGGGCTTAGAACAGAATTTTCAAAATTTGCTCCAGTGGTAGATGTAGTTATTGACCATGTTACTGATTACTCGAAATTCACTATTTTTTTTCCTTATCCAAGAATCGCATTTTTAGGCAAAAATTTTTATTTTTGAAGTTATAACAGTTAACAAACATATATGTAGTGTAGAAAATTGTTGCTACGCATAAAATTAATTTTGAAATATTAATGTTGAAATTTATGTTAAGCAAATATGGGTATGGCACGCAAATATTATGAATAAAAATGAACGAAGACATTTTTTTCTTAACAAAATCGAAACAATTTGAAAACTAGTGTTTTATTTTGATCCATTTTGATACATGATATGATAAATATTGGTACCGGTTAAAACTGTACAGCATTTTATTTTTGGTTTTTTATAGAAGTGTAATGATGTTTATGATAATTATCTTGAACATTAATACACTTCTATAAAATATCATCTAAAAATATTATCTAGTTTGAAATGTAAGAAAGTAATTTCAATAAAAACATTATTTTATATAATAGAATTAATGTCCTGAAAAATGAAAATGGTTATTTCGTAAATGCGTTGAGACACCTTTCAAAAAGTATCTAATATTTTATTTCATACTTAATTTTATAGCTGTGTATTTATGTTTGAAATAATTATATTATCTAATTTTAAGGGCAAGGAAGTACCTTCAAGAATTCTCTTCTGTTTCATTACTTATTATACTTATTTTGTACGTTTAATGTCAGCTTGGAAAAACAAAATATATTTTCCATTTTTAAGTGCTCGCTGAAAAAAAAATTCTAATCAAAGTACAATATCAAGCACCTATACTTTGGGTATATCATCAGTGAAACATATTTTCACCACGAAATATTATACTGTAATTTTTACAGTAATAATTAATAGATTAGAGCGATTCCATAATCTTGCGTACGTTACCACTACAAAAAAACGCTATACAAGATTTTTTTTATCCGGAAATGTTGATATTGCGGAACAAAAAACACGTCAAAACATGTTACAAATGGATGTGAATTTTGGGTTTAACCTAATATGCATAAGTGGATGCCGGTAGGTGGCAAATTGGTTTTAGGGTCCTTGAGTACCGGCACTTTTATTCTAATTTGATCCAGAATTTGTTTCCAGCTCATGAAGGTATCCGTGATTGAAAGAAAGGGGTATAAATGCACTAAACTCACCTCTCCTTCCCGCCTTATCAGGCGACCTCATTCGCTTGGTTGGCGATTTTGGAGAAGGTTCTGGCGTCTCATCCGCCTCTTCTTCTTTGACGTCGTCTTTTTTCTCTTCAGCATCATCAATTTTTTCTTCAACTTTTTCGGGCTCTGTCTTTTGCTCTTCATCCTCTACGTTGGCCTCTGCAGATTCGTCAGCAGGTTCTTTCTCAGCTTTTTCTGGCTCTTCTGCTTCATCAGTGGCTGCCTGATAATCAGAATTTTTGTTGGTTTAAAAAACTTAATATACTTTATGTTTAGATTATTTTAATCAATAAACATCATATGACAATAGTGAAATGTTCTACAAATAAACGAAAAAACCTCAACCAAACTAATACTTAAGGAAACATTTATTAAGATAAATTTCATGTTTGAGAAATTTCCAAACAGTTATTTCAATTAGTTTTCGATGCATCTTATTCTGTTCCTTTATTTTTACCATTACTTTGTCTATTTATCTTAGAATTGTCTTAAATACAGAGGAACAAATTAAGATATGTTCTCTTTCAAAATACATTTTTAAACAAAATCGTCATTTTGAAAATCAGCTATAAATTCCTTCATTAGCATAACATTGGTTCACATATTTTTCCGTTGTATAATTAAGAAAGAAGAGCAGCACATTTTGATCGAATGAAACTGAAGTTAGTAATTTATTGAATTGCTGCGAGAATAACAAAACTTATATTGTTGGAGTTATTATTTTGAAACTTTTATGTGTAATATAAATCTTTCCGCATTTATTATTGCTGTGATGCAAGTCAGATTTGATGAATGTCTGAAGTAAAATATTTTTTTTCCTTATATGGAAAATTTAAAGAAATTACAGCCGATAACATATGATTTTTTTTTATTATAGCCGTCGTTGAACAGCCGACCCAATCTTTTTGGGTTTACGACTACTAATGTTCAACTCCATAGCCTTGTAATTTTGAACCCAATCCAGAAGACAAGGAAACTCCTGGATCAAGTATAGGGAGAAATTTGCCTTCGTCGAGGACTTTTGATGGAACTAACTCGCATTTACGTTACATGGAGAGGAAGACCACGAGAACCACCCACGGCTAAACTGTCGGCAAGGGGACTCTAACCCATGATCCGTCTACCACTGATGATATTTCACGTCAGCACAGTGGTCGGTGCAAGCCGGATGCGGATTCGTATCGACCAGCCATCGCCGGGATTCGAACCCGTTTCAACTCATTGGAAGGTGAATGCTCTATCCCTTGAGCCATCACGGCTCAAACATATGATTTTGAAGCAAATGACGACTTCGTTTGTGGTAATAAAATTCTACTTGCATTCAAAAAATTGGCACCTATTTTCAAGTCTCGCCAGTCAAAAATGGGGAAACTGAAGTTCTAAAGTTTTTTTAAATTTGCTAAAATGGCCAACTCCGATGTTCTGTTAAGTGTCTTTTTCATTTTTGAATTTAAATTATTTAACTTATTTGCATTTAGAGCTTGGTTAAAGACACAAACGGAATGTGTTTATTCTCGTTTATTTTTAATTTAGTGAGTAAGAAGGGCTTTTTCTTGTAATTTTTAAGTTTATAGTATTTAGTAACGCAATCAGTAACACTATAGTTGATTGCTATAGTTACTTTTTATTGTTAATGAAATTCTAAGCATATTTTTACAAAAAAAATTTTTTTACATAGAAATATTGAATGGGTTAAGCCCAGTTAATTTATAACATAATGCAGAAATTTGAGACAACTGCCTGTTTTTTGGGTTTGAACGTGGGGTTTTTATTTTGTCAACTCACACATTTTTTACACTAAACGCATTTAATAAGTAAGCATAGTCGTTAAGCTTAGTGAGAATTGTCTCGGGTATTTGACGTACACAATGCCTTATTGTAATTATAACAATGAATAAAAACACCATTGCTTGCACTTAAAATAATAATTCAGAATTTATAAGTCTACATAAAGATGGATTGAGTCGTGATGGCAAAATGGTTGAGTCTCTGAGTTGCTAATGTGTAGAATCGGGATTCGACCCCAAGTGGCAACCTAATGACCATCAATTTTCAGACAGATGCATAGCATCTGGTATGAAAATAAAAGGTGACAGGTGTGCATTGATGTCACACAGACACATTTAAGCCTTTAGTTTTAAAATTGTAGAGTCTTTACTTTCTTAACCCTCTTTCCCAACAGCTTGCTGTTGCAGAAGTGTTTTACTTAAAATATGGGTTTGTAGGGGATCTACCACTACGAAATTACAATTACAATTCACTAGTATATAAGACGTGTTAACTCGATTCTATGGCGGGGGACCTTTTCATAGATGACGGTTGACATGGTCGATAGCTACCATCTCCCCACATTGGTGACCTTCGGACGTGATGTGAACACGCCTACGACCGCAGAAACTCCCACTTCGATGTGAACACGCCTACTTCGATGGATAATCCACATTAAAAACAGTTGACTTCCTATTTGTGACTGCGACATTATCCACCTCCTCGCGCTGTTGCTACTCAATCTCGTCTCGCTCACGCACAACGTCGGCTTGCATACACTCGACTGCTAACGGCAACACAGGAGCTACGACTACAGTGAAGTTAATACACCTCTCATTTTCAGAACTCAAAAAGTACGGTAATCTTAATACAGCTCTCCCGGCTTCTCACAAAACAGCAATGAATCAACTAGTGATATCCGTTCATCGAATTCTATCACAGATATAATTCTGGTGGGAGAGTACTGTAGGGAATCTACCATTACGAAATTACAATTACAATTCACTAGCATATAAGACGTGTTAACTCGATTCTATGATGGGGTACCTTTTCATAGATGACGGTTGACATGGTCGATAGCTACCATCTCCCCACGGGTCTTATTGATGAAAATAGATAAGATAATACAAATTATTTTGTCTAAGTAGACAGCCATTAATCGAGTTGTATGTTTGTTTAACATATCTAGAAAAGCCATAGATCTCAATATAATTGATCATTGAGTTAAAGCAAGTGTACCAGATAATATGTGAGCAGAGGATTATCATGCTATACGGAAGACAACAGTACGATCTTTAACAACCTTGTGTAGGGATATTTAACATAGTCAAACTAAATAAAGCAACAATGCCAGAATGAGAAATTTTTCAGGTTATTTAACTAAGGATATTTTATTATATTATAAACGTGTAAGAGAATCTGGTGATATTTTGAATTGATGGTGCTAAACTCGGTTGCATAGCCTGGATTCGAACTCATCGATCTGAATTAATTTACTCAAGATTTTAAAAAAAAAAATTTATTTGATTAAATTCATTTTTATCTAATTTCATGATACACGCTTAAATAACGTTTTTAAAATATTCATCAATGATTAAAAAACAGGAAATATTAATATTTCCTATTTATAGACTCCCATGAAAATACAATGGAGACGAAGAGCGATGTTTTTGACGAAATTTATTATCATCTACGCTGATACGAAACACATCTGCTCCAGTATATGTCATTCAGCAATATCCAATGTCGTTTCTATTGTTTGTTATTAATGCAATTTTTCCTTTCTGTCTGAATTTCCGATTCTTCTTTGCTTAACATTAAGAATCATCAATTTGCTTTCAAAGAAAATGCTCATCAATCAATCAATCTTGAGGGGCATTGCTCAGGAAATTGGGTTAGTGCCATTTCAGGGACATTTAAGAATAATCGATTGGAGGTCAAAATATCGATGGAAGTGTAGTTAATATAATGAGATTAAGAAAAACGATAATAGGTAATGAATGTTTCATAGAATGATTTTCTTTTCTTATTCTGTTAATAGACAGTATTATTCTTAATGTGAAATAGAAAGAACGTAAAAATAAACGCGAATAAGCCTTTCTCTTTCAGCAAAATATGAACACTTTGAAAGAAATGATAACATTATGAACTATATTTAAAAGGAAATTTAAATTTGAAAAAAAGATATTTATTTAAGTAAATTTAATTCAAAATTTTAAGACTGCTGTGGCACTCTAATTAGTACTAGTTAATCAAATTGTATATTTAGAGTACTTATATGATTAATCAAGTGAATACAATATTTGAGAGTTTATCCCCTTTTATGAAATCAGTTTTCTGAACTAAATCATCATACATCTTTGTTTAAATATTCAGTTACTCACGTTGTGTTCAAGCATCTAATTATTACCTTTTTTTCTGTTTCGACGACATATTATTCTTTTATTCACGTTATTATATGTAAGTAGTTCAAACTTAACAAAGTTAAAGGTTGAAACATAATTAGTAATAGCAGGATCTAATAATAAAAATTAGTTTTATTTCTGATGGCATAAAAGTGTGTGAGCAATTAATTAGTAAGGATTGTTGTATATGAGTTATAAAGGTATTGTTTTATAAACTTCTAGCTCGGTGATAGATTTCTGCATTTTTATTATTATTTATACAGTTACAAGTTTGCATATTAATAATAGTTATAAATAAATGTCCTACAAATTTTTTAAAGATGCATGCATTATACTCTTTTATGATACTTTTAGTGGATGAAATAGTAAAATGCAGCATGCATAAAAATAAAGAAAAATAGTATTTTATTTTTCATAAATGCAAAATTTATCTGAAAGAGGAAAGTTATGAATAATAGTGAACAAAAATTTACAATTTATGACAGATTTTAATCAATTATTAATTAGTACCTTCCCATAAGAACATAATAATGTAAAAACCAATTCAGCAGTTTTAATGATAATATAAAAAAAATATATATACATCGAATTTCTTTTATGGGACTGCGCAATGAATTTAAAGGATAACTACTTTTAATAAGCACAGTAAAATTGTGATAAAAAATACTTGTTTTAAATCATAATACAACAATTGTCTTAATTATTGCACAAATGCTGTTGCTATCTAAAGATACCAATAAAATTATTCGATTTTGAATAAGTAAAAACCAAATCATCAGTTTTGATGATAATATAATGAATCTAATAAATATAGAATTTATTTTATGTGTGAATGCAATGATTTTAAAAACAAAATAACTACTCTTTGTTGGGGCGGTATAATTGTGATAGAAAATACTTGTTTTAAATCATTGTACAACAATTGTCTTAAATATTGCACAAATGCTGTTTCGTTCCAAAAATACTGATTAAATTATTCGATTTTAATTACAGAGTGATACTTAAATTTAAAAACAAAATCACGTAGATCGAACCACTATATTTCCGTATCTGGTAAATAAGCGAAGCGGGAACGGGTGCAAAAATAAGTGCAAAATCTGCTCCTGAGCTCGACAAGCGACATCAAACAGGGATTTTAAACCGAAAGTTGCTCAATAATTGACGAGGAAAACAGAATGGTAAAATACAACTAGCATTCAACAAAAATTCATTTTTAAAAATTTATTTATCTTATAGGCTAAGAATGTAATTGGAAAATGAATTATCTAATAATAATGAAGAAAAATAGAAGAACAAATTTAGAACTTTATCACTCATATAGTGAACCTGGCATTTTTAACTTCATTAAACGGGAAAGAATAAAACGGGCAGGCACACATTATCAGAATTTATGAAGACCGTACTACAAAAAGAGTTTACAATGTCAGACGATTCGGCACTCGAAAAAGAGACAGACAGAATTTGAGATGGATATATGGCCTAGAAAAAAACCTTTTGATCTTAAAAACTAAAAACAGGAAAGCATTAACAGGAAAAATGTTAGGCTGGAAAAAACTTCCTGAGAAGGCCAAGACCCACCCCGGGCTGTCGATTCATTGATGATGATGAATAATGAAAAACGATATCTATTCATTCACCAGTGAAGCTAAGAGCATGCTCACATTGTGATCTGCTATTTTTATATAAAATCAATTTTATTCAATCAATAATTGTAGTTCAATTTGTTTAAAAAATTTGTAAATTTTTTTTTTATTTCATTCAAGTTATCAAGTAGTTTTTATTTCATTCAAGGAAATGAAAAGCTTTCAAAATATTGAAGAAAAAAAATTTCATATTCTATTTTCATTCAATATCTGCTGTATTTTCTTCTTTGAGTAAAAACTGATTTTATTTCAAAAACATTTTTTGTCTAATTTCTCCTGCCAAAAACCAGTTTTTTTTTTCATTGACGTGGATGTGAAATTATTTTAAGGGGATGGAACAAAATTTAAGGCATCTTCTGATATAACGAAGTAAATTTTCAGCATCAATGTTGGGCTATAATTGTCTAGTAATTGGCCTGAAGAAAAGTTGTGAAATCCAAGTGGACTTCACAAATCAATAAAAGTACAGGAGCTGCACAATAGCAATAAAAGCATATAAAACTTACTTGATCATTTTTTCCGGGATCCTCAGTTTCTGCTACTTCCGCAGTGGTCGTTTCCTCTTCTTTTTTCTCCTCAATTTCTCCAATTTCCTCCACTTTTTGGTCCGCTTTGTCATCTTTTTCTTCATCCTGCGCATCCTTCACCCCTTCTTCGACAACCGCAACTTCATCCGAAGCTGATTCTTTAGCCCCTTTTTCAGTGTCATCTTCTTCTTTTTCCTTTTCCTCGTTGGCCTCTTTCTCCTTTTCTGAAGATTCTTCAAGTTTTGATTCTTCTTCAACCAGTGTTTTCGGTTCATCTAAAACCTACATATGACAACAAAAGGAAGTCGTGAATAGTGGCCGAAAGGAAATAAGAAAAAAAGAAAGAAAAATACTTCTCACAAAGAAAGGCATCGATCACATTTTATTCAAACATTGTCTTATGATTAAAGTTTATATAACTAAATCGAAATAAATGGCGAATACCAGAATTATTATTTCATACTATTTCATTTTGACTTTAATAAGCCTTTAAAAATAATGCCATGTATTACTAAAACTTCACCAAATTAAATACAACTTGTTTTAGTAAACAGTTAAGCAAGTAAGACCATTAAAAATATACTATTAAAGGTTTTTTGATTAAAAGAAATATTAATTTTATTTTAATTCTAAATAAAAGTAATAGTACTTTTGATTAAGGATTACTGTGTTCTGTTTAATGTCTTTTAAGTTTTGATTACGAGTTTAATTTTCTATGGTTGTATAGCTGTGTAATTTAATTCAAAATGTTACAACAAAAGATGTGGTTTCAGCAGTCAATTCTGTTTTGGCTATTAACATCCATGCTCATCTTTAAAATGTCTCAGTGTATTTGTTCTGAGATTTATTTATTTACTCGTTTAATGGTATTGTATTAAAAGAAAATGCATGTTAAATAATATTATGTTTGGATATATTTACTCAACCTTTCGTCTAGCTCAGCCATCAGATATATTGGATTTTTAGTTTGGTTTAGTTCTGCCTCTGTTTAAGTAATATGTATGATTTTTTACAATTTACTTAACATATTATTCTGTTGCCTAAAAGCGAGCATCATTTTCAATGCCATTGCTGTCAACTCACAAATCAGATAGTATATTAAGAAATTTTCCATTTTTTGAGAAAGCTCATTTTCCACTGAAGAAAATCAGGAAACAACTATTTTTATTGGGTTGAATTGTAATTTATTCAATTAAAAAAATCTGATGAAACTGGGAAATTTTAGGACATAGATTAGTCAGAAATATTTTAAAACTGCTCCGGAAACAAATCTAGGCTGTGTGTTTAGCTTCAAAATTCAGCGTTAAACCGGTGCATTAAAAAGGTTAAAAAAAATCTATGCCTGTCTTGATTTAATTTTTTAATCCTTAAAATGTAATGTTTTTTTCGAAGAAAATTCGAGCAATATTAACTTAGCTCGTGATTGACCAATTTGATCAGCCCGCGTATGAATCAAGGGTGTTTGGTATTGCTCATCGTAAAACTGTTCTATCGTAAAGTGCTCGACATCATGCACAAGCTGTCGATATATCAAAGTGGTGGAACCATATCTTCTGCAGAGGATCAAAATTGTGTTGGCATGTCCTCGAATAATCCTCATGAATGTTTCCCTGACCATTGCCAATAGCCCATTGCGTAGCTTTAATGATACGTAAATAAAGTATCTGACAAATAAAATAAACTTTTCTTATAAAGTGTCAACAGATTTTTCATTTATTTTAAATTTATGAGTTGTATTTTTTATCTGACCCTTACGAAAAAATAAGGTGTTTTTGAGGTAGTAATGAGGCTTACAGATGTAAAAAAATACACCAGTTTTATTTTTTATCTGACCTTTACGAAAAAAATAAGGTGTTTTTGAGGCTGTTTTGAAGTTTACAGATGTAAAAAAATACACCTAAAGGTAGAAAATGAGGTTATGTTCTGCACCAGAAATAACCTCATCAATAAACCTCAATTTCAACCTTACTTGCTCTTCACAAATCAACCTCATATATAACTTAGAAATAATTTCAGATTGGGTGAAATTATTTACACCTCAAAAATGGGTATTTGATTTAAGTGTAGGAAGAAAGAAAAACAATCCGTACACTTCAAAAACAACCACCCTAAGCTGGTCAAATCAATCTTGTCACCTCAAAACAATCTCAAATAAACCTTAAAAATACCTTACATTTCTGTAAGGGAAGTCACTTTAACACGCAATATAAAACTTGCTCTAATAAAATGTTCCTATCAAACTCGGAATCTTTTGAATTGTAAAAAGTGCATTTACTTATATAAAGATTCTGATTCTTATTTTTATAACTTTTGTTAAAAATAATAGAATTTGCTGATAAAAACACGGTTTCATAGGTAAGTGTTTTTTTTTTTTTCAATTTTTTTTTTCGATAATACTTAAATATTATTTTTGTTGATTTGATTATTTGTATATATTGGATATATTTGTACATATTTGGATTTATTGTATATATTAAAAATATATACAATGAAAACAAATATATAAGTTTAAACAATATGAACTTCATAATTTTACATTTTATTTTTTCTGAATCTGCGAATAATGATCATTACGCTCTACCAGAAGCGTAGAGGAAAATACTCCTAGATAATTATTAAGATATTGTTAGTGAATGACTGAGTTCTTATATGAAGCATATCATTCATTATTCAAAATAGCTGAATGATTCAAGCAGATACGTCATCAAAGTCATGCTCGGAATCTCCCGATTCACAAAACTGGAGAGCGTAACACTCTCCCCAGATGGCTATGGGCTTATATGATTTGCCTTGTAAGTTGGAACACACCAATGGGAATTACTTAAAATAGTCCGTCCGTAAATGCATCCTATTATTCTAGAACTAATGTTAAATATAGAATAACAGACAGGTTAAAGCTTGATAAAATGTATAACTATCCATTTTCATATCACAAGGGTAACAGGAAATACATTTTATGATAATTTGGAATAGTATTTTAAGATTTATGATATTAAATATTTAACATACTTGATGATACATTATCATTGATCTGCTGCTAATCATGCCAGCTACTAATCATTGATCTTTAAAGGCTGCTAATGTATGTCGGGATTTAAAAAATATTATCAAGTGAGATGTGTAAAATACAAAACAATATTGGTATAAAATAAGGATGCATTTATTCAAAACAAAAGTAGAGACAAAATACGCATACTATTAGTAGAAAGTCATAAAATAAAGTAACGCAGAGCACTAAATGATAAAAATTATTCTTGATAAAAATTAAAGTATTCTTGACAGAAATGTACTTACTGGATGTTGAATGTGTAATCGGGGATTAAGACAAATAGGAAACTAAGAGTGATTTTACATATTTATTGATAACCAAATGTTTATAGATAGATGCTGTTCATCAGTATGAGAAATATAAGAAATATGTAAGTGGGGTAAGCTAAACAATCTAGTATTACACAAAAAAATTTCCTTATCATTGAAATCAAAAAACTTCCTTGCCACTTTTTAAATAATGCATACTTAAAAAACAGGATACCAAGATTAGATCATTTCAACGCGGATGACAAGATTACATAATTTCAATTATTTCGAACAATTTATGCAAGAACATTGATCTAAATAAATTAAAACCTGTAAACTAAATGATGATATACGTTACATAAATTTCCATCACAAATAATCATATATATTGTTTCCGTTTCTAAGTGACTATCGTCATTTCAAACAATTAATTTAGCTTCAATCAAAGCCTTAAATTCAAAACGGTTTACCCTATTTCCTATTCAAATGAGAAAACATTCGAAACTAATAATCATCTAGCCGTGTTTCATAATTAACAATGCAATCCTAATTAAATGTTATACATACAAAACTATTTTATGCTGGACTTTTGCTGCTTGAGGAACAAATTAAAAAACGATTTAAACAAATTAGTTCATTAGTAGTTAACAAATTTTATCAAATTATTAATTATATTACAAATTTTAACAAATGTGACTTTTTATTCTATATTTATAAAATAAAACTTTAAATTTTACCAATTCTGAAATATCTTTTACCAAACCTATTATTTTTTTTAACAGCTCTTCAATGAATATCGAAATAACCAAACCTTTGACCATACTATTACGCTTTTTTTAGTAAATAAAAGTGAAAATGTGGGAATACAGATAATTCCTTACCGTAGAGACTGCATCAATAGACTCAGCTTTATCTACTTCGTTCTTTTCAATTTCTGAATCTTCAGCATGCTTCTCTCCATCTTCCGTCCCCTCATCCTCATCCTCAGCATTGCTTTTAATCTCATCCGCCTTATCTTCACTTCCCTCTGCAGGTGCTTCTATGGTCTCCTTCTCTGCTGTTACTTCTGGAGCAGGCACATCATCCTTTGTCTCTTCCAGCTCTGAAGCATCCTTAGCATCCTCTATTACAGCAGAATCTCTTCCCGTTTTTTCATCAGACGCAATTGAGTCCGGACGTTTGTGTATCTCCACTGTTACAGTTCCTTCTTCTTTTTCTTCAATAGATTCTTTTTCTTTCGCATCTTCGCCTCCTTTCTCTAAATCCTCGTGAGATTGCCCATCTACGGCTTCTGCATCCGTTTTTATGGCATCAGTTTGGCCCGTGGATAAGTCCTCAGTAGTATTACTCTCTGCGTCTTTGTCTTCTCCTACTGCAGCGACCTCCTTCTCAGGTGTGGGGCCGGTTTCCGTTTTCGTTTCATCGGGTTTTGATTCTTCTAATAAAAAGAAATAAAAAAAATAGTATCACGGAATGTAACTTAAGTTTTAAAAATATATTTTAAAATTACAATTCCATTATATATTTCTAAATTGCTATAAGCTACATGACTTAAAGTTAAATTTAAATAACTTAAAAAATCAATTATCAGACAGGATATAATCTAAAAATATAAGCTGATAAATGTTTAATAATTAAGTATTCAATAGGAAAAAGAAAATGTTTAAAAATCTCAGTAGAAACTACATAAATTACAGGTTAAACGTTTCCCTTCTTTCAATGGAGTATTTACACAATTTTATATTTAATTTTTGGATATTATAATTGGCCCCATTTTGGTTTTATTGATATTTTAACAAATATACACCGAAGAGCCATTACAATATGACCACACGCCATCTATAACAATGGGCTCGCCCAGGTTTTCATGGTTTCTCACGTAGGAACAATGTTTTCATGGATCACATTAGGACCCATAATGCTCATAGAACAATCCCTGACGTCTGTAACCTACTTGAACATAGTTCCCCCATTCATGGCAACAGTTTTTCCTGCGGGGGAGGGTGTTTAAAAACAGGATAATGCCCCATGTCATAAGGGTCGAATCGTCGAGGAACATTCCAGTGACTTTCAAGTCCTGTCTTGGCCCCCTAATTCACCTGACCTTAATCCAATAGAGCATTTGTGAACCTACTTGGAAAGCCAAATTCGTGCTTCCACACTACTCCCTCGCAATGTGAGGGAATTGCAGGACCAGTTGGTGAGCACTTGGTACCAGATACCTCAGACTACCTATCAGCACCTTGTGGAATCAATGCCATGGCGGGTGCTAGCAGTTTTGAGGGCTAAAGGTGGTCCTACATTCTATTAGCAAGGTGATCATAATGTAATGGATTTTCGGTGTAATTATAGTATATATGGAATTTTAGAATAAATACTAGTTTGCTATTTATTTAACCTTTTTTAAAGTTAAAATTCATTGTAATATAAAAGATTTGCCGAAAGAAAGAAAAGACTAAATATTTCTTTAATATTGCAAGTTATTTAGTTATTAAATTTAAGCCACTAAAAATATTCTTAAAATCAAGTAGCATTAGTTGAGACTATTTAGTGTTTTGGAAATAAAATGTTAACCTTTTTTTTATTTAAATTTAAATAAAAAAGTTTATATGTTAAAATTTATATTATTAAATAAATTTAAGTATCTTAATTTATTTTTTAAATGCATTTATCATTAATAGAACTTACAAAAAATAACAAAATATAATTATCTAAAAGCTTAAAAATGTTAATTGTTTTCTTAATTTTCCGTGTGACAGTTACTTATAATTCATGCTCCATTATTTAAAGCTTCCTGAGCATGTGAAACAATTAATGGATTAAAAATTATTTTCTTTAATAGTGAAAATTTTTTGCTGGAAAAAAGTACTAAGTTCTAAAAGAAGATTTTTTAAGGTAAGTGACTAGTGCCAAAATATGATTTTGGGCAAAATTTTCGAAATTGAGTTTAGTATAAATTTAATATTCTTGTACTCTTAGCTTTCTTTTGTTTTTACACCAATTATTTACAAAACCAGAGCAGTTTTTGTCTCAGTCTTTAAATGCGTTTATCACAAAATTAGATTTTTTTACCATTTTACACCACCTTTAACACGATATCTCCCGTTGTATTTAAAATAATTAACTACAATTTTTTTTGAGTGTTCATAATTATAGCGCACATTTTTTGAACTACAGGCATAAGAAAGTAGAATTTTACTTTTTATGTACATTTCTTGCAAAAACAAGTCTGATTTTTTTTTTAAATTTTGCTTTTTTAACTACATTGATTCCTAACTCAGTAGTATATGTACTTGCTTTTAAGATCTCAAATCACAACGAGAAAAAAAAATCCTTAAGGAATTTTTCGCTTCAGACGATGGAAACTTTTTCACTAGCTTACCGTATATGCAAAAAATGTCTTATTTTTACCTAAAAATTATCATTTAAAAAATAATTATAATGTAAATAGAATGTTTTGTTTTTACACATAATAAAGCAAATAAATTCGTTTTTAAAATTTTATATTTATTTTTTAAAAATAAGCTGTCGAAACTAGTCGGATACCTTAATGCCCTTCTATTATGAAATAATCAAATAGGCTTTCGTATGCCTAATTTTTTATTTTTATTTTTTGGAAATATTACTTAACTTTACAAATATTTCTAAATTTTTTAATTTTAACTATTAGCAGATTATTTTGTTCTTAGACTGTAAGAATCATTCCATAGACTAAATTTTATTACGAATGAAACATACAAGGGGATAGTCAGTAGGGCATATATTAATAATGCTAAAACTGACCTTTTCGATGTACCTTTTCTAAGAAACTACTCATGATATCGCTTTGAAAGTTTTTGGAGATATTTGAGGTTATATGAGTCGCATACTGCAATAAAGTTTTAGCGTTAATAGGAATACTATTGAAGTTATGAAGCATTTTTGCTCGAAACTTTTTAAAAATAAACGCTTTTAGTTCATGAAATTTTTGACAAAAATTCCTACGAAAGATATTTATTAATAGTTATCACAGTGTGAACATGTATCCATAAATATTCTGTGAAAACTCGAAGCAATGTCTTGTTTAGATGCTGAGAAAAGATGCATCGACAAAGGTCAGTTTTAGCACAATTGGCATATGCCCAACCAATTCCCCTTAAATTAAATTTAAGCCTTTCCATTAGAAGTACTGACACTTGAATTAAATATTATATTTTTTTAATCATAAAGCTAGCTGTGTAGGTAATTTACATTTTTCAATTACTTTTATACAATAAGGAAAGGTCTAATGAAATAAAAAAATATAGAACCTGAATAGCTTTTACTTATTTAAAATTTTATTATGAAAAATTGCATACTTATTTAAATAATGGAAACGATAAAAATATATATTTTTTAATATTGGATAGAAACATCGCAATTAAAAAAGAAGAATTATGTAAGAAATAAATACTGCAGATCAATTTACCTTCTTTTGTATCAGTAATAGTTACTGTGCTACTTTTTTCTTGCTCTGTATCCTCTTTTTGTGAAGTTTCTTCTTTCTCATCCTTAGTCTTTTCACTCTTTCCGTCCTTCTTTTCCTCTAATTGTGTGCTTTCATTTTCATCGTCTTTCTTATTATCTAACTGAGATTCGTCAGTTCCATCATCTTTCTTTTCAACCGATTCCATATTTTCATCTTTCTTGTCCTCACTGGAAGCAGACGTTGCTGATTTCCGTCTTTCAGGTGGCTCATATGTTATTGCTTCGGGAATGGAAGATCTAGATACTGCAGAAGTTGGCTTGTTTTCATCATCTTTGGGAGTTTCGATTTCATTTCGACTCGTCGCGGATGATGTTTTGCTTGATGGTGCTGAAGTTTTGGTGGAAGATGGCGAGCGTTCACCGCTTGGAGAACCAGCTGTTGGGCTGGGTGCGCTGTCATCAACTATATTGGAACCGTCGGCAGTAGAGTCTTCGGTCATTTCTACTTCTGTTGTAGTTTCTTGGCCATCAATCTAGCAAAAGTAAACAGTATTTTATGTATATACATTTAGTTCTAAAGTATAATTTTGTCTATTATTTTTAAGTTCGAAAAAATGCAATATTATTTTTTTTTCTTTGTTTTGTTTTTAAAACGCCATCTAGCGAGTTATGTGCTAAAAAGAATAGTCACATCTTGTAGAAAAGCTGATGTGAAAGTGCATGCGAAAAAAGGTTATATTTCTGTAGCAAAACTGATTTAAAATAATATGAAATATAAGAAAATAAGTAACCAATTTGTTTATTCATTATTACTATTTATTATAATACGAAAACTAATTTCGGATAAAAAAGACTAATAGCTTATTTGTGTCATTGAAAATTAAAAAAAAAATAGTATGTAGAAAGTTCAGTATGCATCGACATAAAAAATATCGATTTATAAGAATTTAGAACTTGAAATAAATTCCTTAAATCGATTCAATGTACTAAATCTCGCCGGTAAGTAATTGTTTCTTCGGTAAATGTTTTATTACATGCCACCAATACTAATAAGATTTTTTCTTGAATTAATTTTATTTCAATATTTAGAAAAGATTTTTATCTTTACAAAAGTAGAAAAATGTTCAAAATATTCAAATACTTTTTTAAACTGAAGAAAGTTAAAGACAGAAAAAGCGATCAAAAACTTTAGATCAAAATGCAGAATGGTTACGTATAAGGGATGCTAATAATAATCTACTAATGTTATGAAATCATCAGACATGGAAACAATTTCTACTAGAATAAACAAATTTTTTTATTTATGCCGTTTTTGAGACCCTACATTAAAACTAATGTTGTTGCAGTCTTGAAAATACATACCTAATGGGGTTATTGATCATTCAGTATAAAATATATATTGTTGTTTTAAAAAATTTTCCCTCAAATGTCTGAAAATATTTGTAAAATAAGATATGAATTTGAAAAAAAACAAACTGCAAAATTATTAATTATTTAAGTATTACTTAACTAAACATTGGTTAAAATATTGCTGAACTGCGTAGATTATTACTTTTATTATTATACCAACTGGTTTCTTATTTAATTACTATTCAGTTTTTGCTGTATAAAATGTATGAGCTAAAACTTTTAAAATTATATACGAACTTTTCCCACCGTATGTAGGAAGGTAGTCCTTAATTTGTTTGTTTACAGTTATCTATAAATGCTATTACTTGGTTATTGATCTATAACGTGTTAATTAAGAACGATGTTCAATTGGTTCTAATAGAGTTCTGCCTTTCCATGAGTGAGAAAGAAAATCTGAGTTCATATCCTGTCATGCTGTTTCTTTTGATGGTGAACAAGATTGAGATAAATATTTATATTTTGGCAAAAAATGAAATAACATGTTCTCTGTTCTGTGAAAATCAATTTTCTTTTGGGCTTTTAAATTTACATAGTTAGACTGAAAATGTTAAGTTTATTTCACTTTATAATTCAAAAAGTTTTTGATAATATTTAAATTGAGTAATGAAAAGACATATCGAAATATTAAAAATAATTTTTGTTGCATTACTTCTATGCAAGACGTTTTTATTACTGAGAATTTTAATTATCGCAATTATTGCTACAAATATGACAAAAAACATTGTAAAATCATATATACAAAAAATACATATTAATGATATCATAATGAAAATCAGTTTCTTCCAATGCTTATTTATGATCTGTTTCTTATAAAATATTTCTTTTGTACGAAATTCTATTTCTTTTCTTTTGCTTGAATAGGAACTTGAGATTCCTTATATATTTTGTAATATATTTTGACTCTATTTTCAACAGTCAAAATATGCGTATAAAGTGGATCTTATGATCGCCCTTATGGATCAGCCTATGTGCATATTAAAAATCACTAAACTTTCTTTCAGAAAACCATTCTTCTTTTTTTAAGAAATTGAATTTAGTTTAAAGATCTTTTAACTTTGGCTCTGAATTTTAATACTGAAAAAATTCAACTTGTGACTATAACGCTTACTTTAGCAAGGAATGAAACAAAAAAAAGTAAATTGGTTAATACTTAGCATTAGTGTTTAATTAATTCTTAAGCGTAGTTAAAATTTCTACAGAGAAATCATGTTACACATTAAGTTTTTGTCGAGAATCTATGCAAGACGTCCCTTTAAATTTCCTTCTATTCATCTATTTTACTTCAGTAATGAAGCTGATAATCTAGAAACCGAAACTATTAGTTAATCAAACAAAAAAGCTGCCAAATGTGAAAATATACGCCTACCATTTCTACATGCAGCTTATCTCATTGCTTCATAGAAGTGAAATAAGTTTTATGCACTCTTTAGAAAAGTAATGTGAAAAAAATTAAATTTCCCTTTTTACCACGTTTTGAATAAATTTGTGCATGCGATTCGCTACAGATTCAATTTAATTCTTGAAATTAAAGTAATTTTTACAGCTTGAAAAATGAATATGAAACGAGGAATAGATTAGTTTTTTGTACTAATTTTTGTCTGTTTAACTGCTAGTTCGCAAGTTAAATAGGAAAAGTAAACGATTTTTAAGTTTTCTGAAGCTTGAAAAACTAGACGTAAAAACAATTCTTGACTTCTTAATAAAAAGGAAAATCTAGAAAAATGTTTCTCAGTTCCATGTTCGTCGCTGTTCACAACATTCAGGAAATAAAAAATCCAAAGAGAAATATAGCGTCACATATATTTTTCGAAAATTTATAGCTCAGCAAATGGCCTAAAAGCAGGACTTGGAGTTCAATATTTACATGAAAAAATAGGAATAAAGAGAGATCCTTTGCTTTGAAAAATCATCACGTAAAAATACTTTTCTTAGTTCTCTTTTTAAAGAACTTCGTGTTTGGAATTTTATTTTTAAGAAATCATGTGGTTTTGAATATTAAACTATCCGTTATTGATACCGAATTGAGTTCGGGGCTTCTTGTCTGCCCACTAATTTGGTTTCTTAACATTTTATGCAGTCGAAAACATTTTCGTGTAACTTTGTTGAAAACAAAAAAATAATACTAGAATACTTGAAAAAAAGAAATTTTTGGCATAACTGGATTTATCAGTATGATATTTATAATAAACACTCTACAAAATTTGAATATATGGAGACAATCAATTTTGACTTTCCTTTATGTCGGAGTTACTTTATATGAAGTTACGCAAGTTTGTGTTATTCATAAGTCATTTTATTTTGAAAACCTTTCGAAAAATATTATTTAAGCCAATTTTTCTTTTGGTATCACCACAATTTCTCTTTGAATGAAAACATGTGATACGACCCCTAGATTCTTTTTTCAGGTGATTGCTGACTATTTTCTAAATTTTTCTGAAATCCAGATTATTTCACATTAATAATCAAAAGTGTATATTGCATCATTATACCGGAGATGGCGCGAAGTCCCATATGCATTTCTTAATTTAAAGGAGTGCTTTCACAATTTGAGTAAATTTCTTTTCAAAAGATACAATCCCTATCAATAATACTTTTTTATCGTTTAAAACTTTTAACCATCTTTTTTTGGTGAAATGTTAGTCACCTTGTGTGGTTTATTTTAGAGATAAAATGTCTCTATTCTCACACTGCAATAATCCTTATATTTCCTTGTTATTTATCCAAAACTACTACTACTAACCAGTGTTTAATTTCTAATCTATTTCCGCATATACATATTACTGTGCATATTACTTTAAGGTATATACACTATCTACCAATAAGTATTTGGAAAGTATAAGTACCTATGCAAATGACTATATCTGCGGTCCTGAGATACGTCACGCCCTCCGCCGGTATATATCGTGCAGTGAACAACATCGGCATTAGTCCCATGCAAGATGCATACTGCACTATTTTGGATAACAATGTGCTTCCTGCGCTGCGGCAGTTTTACGGGGTGAACTCCTGTTACTTCCAGGACGACAATGCCAGCTGTTATGTTGCGAGGGTCACCAAGGCTTTGTATAGTGACAATGGGGTTAGTCGAATGAACTGGCCTGCCCAGAGCCCAGGCCTGAACCCTATCGAGAAACTCTGGGACGAGTTGGATCTCCGAATTAAGGGGTGTACTACCCATGCAAAATCGGTGAAGGAACTTACATGTCTTCTCCAAGCCGAGTGGAAGAAAATACCACTAACCGTCAAACAAGGACTTGTGGAAAGTATGCCCCGGAGGGTTCACGCTGTAATTGCCTCTCGTGGAAGCTCTACCAACTATTGATTATGAATAAAGTCTGTTTTTCTTGTCAATCACGCGTGTCCGAATACTTATTGGTAGATAGTGTATTAGCAGGAAAAAAATAAAAATTTCGTTATCAATAATTATTAACTTAGTTAATAAAATAAGGGGGACTTTGCGTCATTTAGCCAGATTCTGAAGCCACCAAAAAACAAAACATGAGTATAACTTCAAATTGAGTTGAAAAGTTTTATATAAAAACCGTATAAATTAGATATTCATGATACTAATTTTGCTTAATTTAATTACAAATACAGCAATTGGGCTTTTTCACTGTAGAAAGGAGCTCACCGTGTTATCTAACTTCCCGAATTTTACGTAAAATTTGTTGGTATTCCTGTTCCACGAATTAGTTTGTTGATATTTAATTTTTTACGATTTAAAAAGTTTTGAAGTAAATGATATAGAAAAATTAATGATATTCCGATGATGAAAAGTCGGGGAAATATAGAATATGCGATATTACTTTTCAACAGAGTTCTAATAATTTCCTTCATGTTGCAAAATATGTGTGTGTGCCCTCACGCTGTTGTGCTGAACCGCAATTTCTTTGCTGTTTGCTGTCCTCACATATCCACTTCAGTAATAACTATGACTCAAATCACATTCGGTTGAACTTTTTGCTGACAAAGTCCAAAAGTTCTGTGAACTTGGAATAATGAAGATACCAGAAAGGTGATAAAATGTAATTGAACTTCGAATCGAATATTTGTCAGATTAACGTTAATGTTGTGAACAGGAAGGAATAGAGTTTTATTTCACACTGAAAAAAATGAAAACTGC